ATTATAAAAAATTAGATAAAAAAATATTAAAATTATATAATTTTAATAAAAATATCTTTAAAAATTAATATATTTTAATTTTTATAAAATATTCTTAAAATAACATAATTTTTAAATATTTTTCAATTAATTTTTGACCATTCAAATTAATACCTACTTTTCCAATCTTATATGGCCCAAAAAAAATTTTAAAATATCGCTCCCTCAATTACTCACTTCTTCTTACATCAGCTTTGCCTTCTTCTCCTCTCCTTTAGAAGCTCCATTAACTTTCCGACGTGGCTCGCCGTCTCTGACCTATTTGCCACGAAATGCCAGAGAACCATGGAATTTCAGTCCAAACGGGCCCCACACCACCCCTCTTCTTCGCCTTCACGCCACCTTCCTTTCTTTCTCTCTCTCTTTTATAACCTCTCCTTCTCAGTGTCTTCTTCACTGCCACTTCCATTTCCTTCCCAACTCCGGCGATGCCCCAAACCCAATCCCAAACACAAACCCAGATCAGAGTCAGACACCATGAATTCCAACATCTTACTTTGTTCCGCAAAACGTGGGATTGTTTCCCTCCACCTCATCAACTTCCTAATTCTCTCTCCGCTGAAATGTGCGGCGCAACCCGGTTCCAGTCCCCCCAACAACAACGATCCTTACGCATTTGATCGATTCAGTCCCTCCATGGCGGTGACGGTGATGATCGTGGTCTTGTTTTCGGCTCTGTTTTTCATGGGGCTTTTCTCTATATATATCCGCAACTATGCCACTGCGGGGAACAGTGGGAGTGTGAGCCCGGTAATTGAAAGGGGGACCGGACGGTCGAGACGGGGGCCGCGTGGGCTAGAGGAGTCGGTGATTGAGACTTTTCCCACCATGGTTTACTCTGAGGTTAAACACCACAAGATCGGAAAAGGCGCGCTGGAGTGCGCCGTGTGCTTGAGCGAGTTCGAGGACCACGAAACGCTGCGTTTGATTCCCAAATGCGATCACGTCTTCCACCCCGACTGTATCGATGAGTGGCTGGCGTCGCACACCACCTGCCCCGTCTGTCGAGCAAACCTCGTGCCGCAGCCCGGTGACCCTGTGCTGCAACCCGTTGATGTTTCTAGCGCCGAGTTAGATCCCGAGGCCCAAGACAACGCCGTGGATCGGGAACAGGAGGATGAGCAGACATTAAATGAAAATACGGTGGTGGAGGCGGCGCCGCCGTCAGCGGCGGAAGTAATTGATGTCAACAAAACTCTGAGTAGGAACCGGACAAGTGGCTCGAGATCCAACCACAGACGCAAATTCCTTCGTTCTCACTCCACCGGCCACTCTTTAGTCCAACCGGGTGAGAACACCGAGCGATTCACTTTGCGGCTGCCGGTTGAGATCAGGAAGCAGGTGATGAACCGGCAGCTGAACCGGGCCACAAGCATGATGATATTACCGAGGGAAGGAAGCTCGCGGAGGGGTTACCGTACCGGCGGCGAAGGGAGCAGCAGAGGAAAGTATATTAGACGGTTCGAGAAACTGTCAGACCGGTGGATGTTTAGCATGACGCCACCCTTCTTCAGTAGAGCCTCTTCCATTAAGTCACCGAAGGTGGCAGCGAATTCTGGCGAAGGGACATCCGCTCCGCCTGCCGGCGCTGACTCAGTTCGGCCGCCTGTTTGACTGCTTAATTCCTGTTTCATAGGAATTTTCCCACATTTTTAGTATAGATATATTTTTTATTAATCTTTTCCTTAATGCTGGGATTTTGTGTCCATAATATGTAAAATGTATATTAATTTTCTTTTCCATAATATATATTTTTTATTAGTAATAAAGTTTAAAGTGTTACAAAAATTTTCATATTTGGTTGTTTGTTATTAAATTATATACAGTAACTACGGTTCATATTTAAGATCTCGTACAATCGACATAAAATTGCATTTATTTTGGCATCCAATCTGAGGGAGATGAGGGGACATGGAATCAAATTCCAAGTCACTACAAGTGACAACTTGGGGAAATTTTGACCAATAAATTTTGAAATATTTTCAGAAGCAACTGCTTTTGAATTGGGGAGTACTTATCTTTTCTTTGTACTTAATTTGTGCTTTTGACTTCAGCGCTTTTTTTTTTTTTTTTGACTTCTTTATGAGCCAAGTAGCCAAAGTAATTAAAGCATAACAAAAATGAGTTTTCCCGGTTTTCAGTGGTTCAGACTTCAGACTGCATAAGAAAACAGCGATCATTAAAATAGGAAGACAACTTTTAAAATTCTTTTTTGTTTATTTTTATTAAATTTAATTTAATTTTTTAAATACAAAATTTAAATAAAAATTTAATATACTATATAAATATTAATGGTATTTTTAAATTAAATAAAAATATTTAACAAAAAATTTATATAGAAAACATTTTAATTATTATTTATATAAATTATTAAATTTTTATATAAAATTTATATTAAAAAATAAAAAATTAAATTAAAATTATAAATTATAATAATTAATAATTTCTATTATGCAAACTAATATAAAATTGTCCCTTTTTTATAACAGAAATGCTGAATGGGAAATTGAGCAATAGGCAAAGTTTTTTTCCGAGTAAATAATAGGCAGAGTTTTTTCGTGGGGGGTGGGGACCTGCCTATGCCACGTGATATCTACCAACTTTTTTTTTTTTTGGGCCATATTTAATGTCAATCTAGCTAGTTAGTGATACCTTTCAATAGATTGGTTGGTAGATAGCATAATACCCTATACCATCCAAAATTCAAAATTGATAGTTAGGGCCATCATGTCTTTGTATTCATGAATGACAACTCAGTCAGGTACTGACAACCATCATCGAATCAGAGCAAGAAGAAGACACCCATAGTAATAGGGGTTCCATCATACCAGGAAGTCATAGAGAGTTCACAATCGAAATCGACGCCACCTTCTCTCTTCACCCCTTCCCAGACTTTGGCAGAACCCTCAAATCACCCTTGATAAACATGGGTAGGACGGATCCACCCTTTAAAAAAAAGCAGGGACAAATGACACCTCAAAACTTTTGGGGTGTCATTTGTCCCTGTTTTTTTTTAAAGGGTAGATCCATCCCTACTCATATTTATCGAGGGGTGATTTGAGGGTTCTGCCTCAGACTTTCTCCCAAGCCTTTTCTTTCCTCAAATCCTCCGAATTCTATTCCCTTCCTCCCACCTCCAACGCACCTATCTCTGCCGCTGAAATTTCCGGCCAAAGGTACTGACTTTTTTCAGTTTTTGGGAAACGGAAGACGGCTGGTGGAACTTGCTGAAGTGGGTTTTGATTTTTATGGTGATTCCGTTTTGTTTCAGGCAAATTGAGGAACCCAATGTGCCTTCTCCCAAGAAAATTGTGTGCTCTTTTAGTTGTGATTGGACAATATGATTTTCACAGAAATCTGGACAAGAAAGGCACAACACATGCTCCAGAGAAATGGGTTAACTGTTTTCATTATTTTGAATCCCAGAAATTTTCACTTTCATAAACAAGTTTTGTTGATCCACTAAAAGCACAACGTGGCACATATAAGAATAATAAAAATAACAGAACAACATACTTCAGATTATCCATCACAAGTATTGTCTTCTGAGCCTTTCCTCATGCTCAGCATCACGCAATGCATGTTATTTTCATTTTCGTCCTCTTGACAATGGAAAATGAATTACCTTGGCATGTGGATAACACATCGCAAGCACTTCCCTTCTCTCATGAGACTGAAAGCTTTGTTGATATCCTCAAATGGAAGATTGTGTGTGATGAAATCATCTATCTGGATTTCCTGTGGAAAAAGTTGAGGTTATCAAGACTGTTTTCGCCAATAGAACACTATTAGACATGGTTAGACATAATAAAGCTTTGCTGACTTGGCTCAGTGCTGCACACAGATGGCAAAAAGGAAAAAACGAAAAAGTGATGCAAACATGACAGCAGAAGGAATTTATACCAGAACCAGAATCCCAAGTCATCAGTTATCATCTCAAGACTCTTATTCCTTTCGTTCCTTAATTCCTTTAATTTTCAATTAAAGCATTACAAATATGTTATAAATGAGCTGCCAGTAATTTTTCTGTAATTTTATACCTTGTTTCGTGAAACTGATTTATAAAAAAATTAATGTTTAAACTTTAAACTCAATCTGTCTATGCTTTCTCTCATCACATTCTTTGTCTTCTCCTTTGCCTCCTTACATGTTTCATACCATATCCATATCCTTTTCTTCTCTCTCCATACTTCCCAGCACAAACCAGGAGCCAATTTGGTTGATCTGCTGAAGACTCCATTAATTAGCGAGCCATTTATGACTCCTCTGCCTACTTGACTGTTATTGTCCAATAAGCATTCAATTTATAACTTTTGACACACGGTTTCAATTAACATTTCTAATCTAGATCCTTCCACTTTTCCTAATTTACCAGTTTTTACTTTAATCTGGTCTAGTGCCTATTTGCCTTTTTCTTTGGCCGATGTCATGAATTAAGGAATGGAGACTAAGATTGGGATGCCTAAATATTTGTTAACAGAATTTGATTTGAGGATGCCTTTTGAAAGGTATCTTCTCCATGTGGGGGGAAAAAAAAAAAAACCCACAAACCACTCTGTTTTAGCTTGACAGTTTGGTTCATTATAAAAACATGCTAAAGTTTGTTAAAACAGAAACCTTATTAGTGTCTTTACTTGTTTGTTTACCTTTCTAAAATTTAAAACTGTCAAGCTTGATTTTTGTTGCAGGATGTTATCCAGATTGAAAAAGATGCCTTCTATGGTTTGTCTGAGATGATGATGTAATGAAGGGGAAAGAGATTGGGAAAGGAGTTGCCATCCAAATAGTTTAAGGATGCCCATAAGTAACCTTGTTTTCCTGGTGAGGAAAAATAAAGAAGTACCATCAACCAAGAATAGATTTAAAGAGAAATTTAGCTGCAATTTTACCTTATTTATGTACTTGTCCACTAGTGATGGAAGATCAGTTTTAGGTTTCCATCCTCCAAATAGAGATCCTCTCAGTGTTCTTCCAGTCAAGAATAGTCCATAGTGAGCTGCTACTTCAGGCTTCACCTTTGGCACACCAAGCGTAATGGTCAACCCCCATCCCTATGAGATAACAAAAGACTAGAATTTTTAGTTTCATGAACTTTGAGATGAACTAACTTCTTTAAAGAGGCATTAACAAACATGTAATGGACTTACATCGCAGCAAGATTGTAATGCTGTGGTTATCATTCCAGTATCACCTATACATTCAAATGAGTAATCTGTTCCTCCGTCAGTTATACGCTTGATAACCTAAAGAACTCAGAAAAGAACATTCAGTTAAACCTCAATTTCTACAGGCATGGTGCTTCCATTTTCAGTCCTTTTGTGTCTTTTGGATTCAATACCTGTTGAATTGGTTCATTACAATCATTTGGGTTGAGAAATTCTGTTACTCCAAAAGCTTTTGCTGCAGCAGTAACATAATTAATTTCAGAATTGTCTGCAAAGCTCAAAAGTCAGTCACCCACCATTTGAATGTTCAATTCTTACCATACCTTTCTCACACTTTTCAGGGTTTGTGTCAATGCCAATTATGCGAGATGCTCCTCTGAGTTTGGCACCTTGTGCAACCTAATCAAACAATATTATGTGTTTTATTAATACAATGCAATGCTGTCTGTCTGACTGATTCAGACATCACTGTAGTGTTGGTATATCCCATACCATTGTAAACAAATTAGAAAACCATACTTACAGAAAGACCAACAGTTCCAAGACCAAAAATTACAACTGTTGATCCTGGAGATATGTCAGCAACATTCCAAGCTGCACCAAGTCCTAAAAGTGTAATCTGGATTGTCAGCAACATTCACTTAATGGAGAGCAGTGTACAACCACATCCACAAGAATGCATAGTGTTGATTATTATATTAAAAAATTTTAACCTGCAGCTACTCCGCAACTGAGTAGGCATATTTTATCAAGAGGTACAAATGAGCTGACTTTGACAGCACATCCTGAGTGCACGACTGTATATTCACTGAAACTAGAAACTGCACAATAATGAAAAACAGGTTTCCCTTTAATTGAGAAGCGTGTCTTCTGATCGCTATGCATTAAGCCTCTTCTTTCTAACCCCAGGACCTGGCACATGTTACTTTTATCTGATTGGCAATGCCTGCATGTCCCACATTCTCCAGTGAATACTGTAAGCACATGATCCCCCTCCACAAATTCAGTGACTCCCTCTCCAACACTTTCAACTATCCTGCAAAATAGGACTCCAATCAAGACCAGTTTGTTCTGGCATCTGTAGAAGAAGCATATAACCAATCTCAGGCAGAAAGAATGATAGACAGGGTTTTAATTCCTACAAATGCTTGTCATGCAGCAGTTTAATTGAAGTTACATTGCTCTCTCTGGCTGTTGTGTGGGGCATTGAACTGAAATTCTTAAAATTTTCATCATACTGCAATTCTCTGTCTTCAAATTTCACCCTAACTCTAGCTTCAAACATATGGGTAAGAAGTTGGTTATTCTACTTGGCACAGGTATTTCTGTATTTTTCAAGATGACATTTACAGAGAGCTTAAGAATAGCACAAAAGTGTGACATATTCACTTTGTAAGAAAATCTCTATGATCATGTTGACTCCTGTAGATATTGTATAAAATTACATCAGAAAAATAATTTAACTTACCCTGCTGCTTCGTGGCCAAATATTCGAGGAAATATAGCCTGCACAAAGCACATTATGTTAGACGGACGAGCAAACCTCCAGACCATGATGGAAAGAAATCTCAATACTAAATAAGTACACAGAAACTTAAGCAGAAAGCTGAAACTTCTTCATACTTGGATCCACGGAAAGGTTTACTTAACATAAGCAAAAATTTCTATCAGAAGTTCAGAAGAAAACTGGCTTTAGTTTCATTATACCACTTTTATGGTTTTCTTGGACTTGAGGGAAAACTTGGACGTCTAAGAGAAATCATTACTCACTAGGTGTCAAGAAAACACAATATCCTTTATCCCAAAATTCCAAGTGTTTGATAAGAGGTCATTAATTCCACTAGTAGTCTCTGCAAAACCCTGGCTCCTCAAGGAGAAAATCAACATTCCCACAGATACTTTCTTCTTTCAACAGAAATAGCAAATATCTTGCTCACTTGCCCTTAGTAGTACCATATTTTTTAATAGTTTCACATGTCAGAGCCTGGTAAAGAAAAATAATGCTTCTACATAATCTGCTCTATCATATTTACTTTAAAATTTCCCTGAATCACCTCTTAAATTTTTGCATAGATTGATCCCACCCCTTCACGTTAGATGCACATTGGACCAAAATCATAATCTAATTAATTCAAGGAAAAGGTGTGAGTGATACAGTGTCCTAAATTCCTAATTAAACAAGAACAGAAGAAATAAAAAATAGAAATAGTACCTGGGACTCCCAAGCAGTAATGTCACTGCGGCAGAGAGAGGTGCAAACAACTTTGATCCTAATTTCCAGAGGGTGCGGTGGACTCACTTCCACTTCCTCCATCACCAGTTCCTGTCCAGCCCCCCATGCCACCATAGCTTCACACACATGTACAACTTCAACCATGAGCTAATGGAATCATAAAAGAATAAAACAAGAAAACCCATGTAAATTGATGAAAGGGGTTGTGAGTTTCAGTGGCGAAATACCTCTGCAGGTGATGACATTGGACTGTTTGAATATAGATGCTGACATTTTTTGGATGCTTTCTTCCTTCCAGCAAACACCAAAGTAAAAAGGTAAGTCCTTGCGGCAGCCCAGGAGAGGGGTGGATGATATGGTGGGGTTCTAGTTGTGGTGGTAGGTGAGCTTGAATTGCTCGTGTGCCGATTAGGGCCGTGCCGGTTCTATCGGTCCAACCGGGTTCGAACAGGAGTCCTTATTACGATCTAAATATATAGTGGTAACTGGTAACCATATGACCGAATATAGTTTAAATCTCAAAATTAAATCTTGAATATATTTTTTTTGAATAGGGGGAAATTTTGGAGAAAGGGGGAATAAGGATTGTTATTGTAGTTTGAATTTTGATTAACATCAAGAGTTAGGTACACCCGAATCAAAACAGCCAAATATTCGAGTGCAAATCTTGAATATATTAAAAGGAGTTTAAAAAAAATTATTTTTATTATATAATTTATTATTTAATATAATAAAAAAGGATTAAATATCTTTTTATATCTTGAATATTATTATTTTTATAGTTAATATCTTCTAAATTTTTTTAATTAATGTTTTTTATAATTTAAAATTCGTAAAAAATTTTAAATTACTGACAAAATTAAGTTATAAATAAGAAATTTAATGTTAATTTTTAAATTTTTTATGAGTTTAAAATTTTGTAAAATATTAATTGAAAGTAAAAATTTTAAAAAATATTATCTGTAAAAAGTAGAAAAGTCTAAAGTGTAAATTAAGGGGATTTGGCCTAAAAACAAAAATTGGTGACATTCGGACCAAACCAGACCGGACTTGGTTGCAAGGAGTTGTCTTGTAATTAATCAGACTTGGTTTGAATCGTGTTTGTTTCCATATATATATTGAATATGGCATTAGCAATGCCTAAACTGTGCGGGATGGTTTGGTTTGGTTTGGTTAATTAATTTATTTATTTTTTGTCTCAAGCGTTAATCCTGTAACGGATGATGTGAAGCTGTTATGTTGCTATTTAATATAGATTGTGCAGTCTTCAACTTTGAAATTGTGCATATTTGAAATTGCTCACAGGATCTGTATAAAGATAAACATTTTGAATCGAATTGAAAGTAAGGGTGAGAAGAACTTGCTAATGCACAAACAAATTATTGCATAATGGGATTGTGAATAATACAGGATGCATATGACCAGGTATGTAGAAATATCCATAACCTGTTTTAAACAAACTACAAAAAGAAAAATCAGAAGCCAATTCTTTCACTTCCTACATGCTAAAACTGACACTGGAACTCACAGTTCATCAAAGTCCAACATTTTGGAATCCGTGTGTAATACAAGCTGTAGAGATGGACAAGTTGTCTCCAACTCATGAGCATGGTTCAGTTTGGCTGCCCCTCCTTTTTTTTCTTTCTTGGCACCAGAACAAACGTAATCAGTCTACCATGAGCCTTGTGGTCTAGTGGCATAGTGACTCAGACTGATTGAACATACATAATAGGGAATAGACTGATCACACAAGGCCAAATCTGTCAAAGAAAAATTTCAAGTTCCTAACAGTTATGGCAATGCGGCACTCCAAAGCGGAGATTATGCTCATTCCCATTGTTTCTATCCAAAAAGTTGCATTAGGCCATGCAAAAATTAACTGCATAAGAACCTTTTTTCTAATCTTCACTTCTTCACCAGGATGTACATAACAACTCGTTGGCTGCAATAATCAGGATGCCATTGCTTCTGATCCACACGGCCAATTACAAAATCCTTCAATGCCTCTTCTAAAAAGTATTCAAGGACAGCATCTACAACAAATGTTTTAAGAGCACTGAACAAGTGTTGAGAAAAGGATAGTGGGAGGGGGTTGGGGAGAGGAAGTGTGACAGAGTCATACCATTTCTGAGCTCTCCAGATAGAAAAACTGTTGTCTGGGTTGCACATAATTGGGATAGGGTGTCTAATAAATCCACAACTGCTCCTTCACTATAGATAACATCAGACCCTAGCACTGGTAAGCCAGCAGATAAAACAAATTAACAAAAAAAAAAAAGAACAGCTTCAACATAAAAATACATGACTAATTGACTATAACTTCAAACAGGTTGTCATTAAGGATGCCAGAAATTCATAATGAGCCCAGGTATAGGCAGATGACTGCATAATGTCAAGAAAACTGGAAGTCCACACAAAATTCCACTAGAATTCTTAAGAAGCTGATAAAAGTTATAGTTATTTCTCACCAGTAAAATAATAATAAAAATAAAGAACAAGGCATTTACCTTATGATAATGCCCAAGTTCCCTCTGATACACACAAACGTCTATTTAAAATGACTAGAAAATGGTTGTCAAAATATTTACATTTTATGTAGATGGGGGTTGGGAACGTTTATATAACTTAAGAGCCTTTCTCATCTAGGCTGTGCTGAAAAGTTTTAAATTTTAAATTTTCATTACTTACATTGACAGTTAAAGTGAAGGTGAATAATATCAGCTAAGGTCAACTTGGGTTGGAATTCTCCTAAAGGATGATGGAGTTGGAATTCTCCTAAGGATGATGCCCCAAAATTACAGATTTAATTTTGTTTTTCAAAGCCACCAAGTGTTTGCTCAGGTTATCCACTTCCCATACAATTCGTAATCATGTATGATTTATCAACCTAGGTTCACATGATAAAATTGTGGTAAAAATGTGGGTTAGAATAGGTCTTACAATTGAATCAAGCACATCAAATGACTACCCTACCCCTATTGTCCCTCTCTTTGCATTTTATAAGCATAAGACAAAACCACCGAACCTTGACAGAGCCCCTATTTTCATTGTCCACCCAAATGGTTTTGAACATATCAAGAAAAGATGAGAACTCCTCTATGGCCAAGGCCAATATTGGATGACTGCACAGACATGGGGGTGGGACTATTTCATCAATCAACAACTACATGTTGCAAGTCATTCAAATCTGATAGCATCTTTCACTCAATAAGAAGTAACATGGGAAAGTTAGTACCATAATCGGGTGGAGGCTCAATCAAATCTTGGTCAGGATCATCTCCCCAAGTGAGATCCTTCACTACGGCAGACCCTCGTACTCCATGTCTCAAGTTGGTTTCCACATTCCTTTTCAGTAGCCTCAGTCTATCAGGCAAATCTGTAAGAATAACTTGGGCGCCTAGAAGAGCTGCAATGCAGCTGCCCTCACAAAAAGGAAAGAAAAAAGAATAACATAATTCAAGTGAGATATATGTATTCCAATCATAGCAAACAGATTAAGTTAAAAAATTAGAGGCAAATTTCATTATTCTATCTCCCATAAGAGGACATTTGTGCCTCTATTTAATGGGTTTTGTTCTGGTGCCACTTTAAAACTTCTCCTTAGATGAACCCCAATGCTAGTTGAGGAGTTCACTAACAGACAATATATACATGGACAAAAGTTTAAGACTAGATAGTTATTAGCATTACCCAACTAATCCACAGCCAGAGCCCAATTCAACAACCTTCTTGCCTTGAAGAATAAGCATCCCCAAGTCCACAGCATGCTCTAGAAACTTCCCGAGCACAACTCCACTATCCCACATCACAGCTCCGGTTACTCCAGGTGTACTCTGGAGTTAAAAAGGAATTAAATATCAAGAGAATTAACTAGACTAAATTTTTTGGAAGATCTTTGAAGTTAGAGTCATAATTACAATTTACATGAATAACTCAAAAGAAGCAAAAAGAATCATTTGGATTGTCATGGCATTTTGTGTTATTAACTTAAGAAGAGCATGACATCTTATACTGTCCCTAACACTCCTTTTCATGTAATTTAATGAAATCTGCCATGAGGCTAATTGTTCCAGGTAACTTCTGAGATTGTCACTCTCCTTAGGTTTGTTTCTTGGGTGCGTAAGTTAAATTTAAATAACTATTAATAAGTTTCCTATGATAATGATTCAAAGTTTCATTAAGAACTACAGTCAATGACAAAGGTCTGAAAGCCACATGCAAAAAAGATATGATGTATTCATTGGAGACCAAGGCCGTCAAAATTGCAATCCTACCTGGGATTAGAAGAGGGAGCCAGGATCATAAATCATGGGATCATAAGATCCTACATCATTACATTTTTATATTTGTGTGATTGATTTGTATAAATATGACTATGTAAATGAATCCTTATTAAATCCTCATCTCAACTAATTTACATAATTCATATTAACACAAATCAATCACACAAATATAAAGATTTAATGATGTAGTATCTTTTGATCCAAGTTATGATACGACAACTTATGATCCTAGCCCCTCATTCCAATCCTAGGTAGGATCGTGATTTTTGACAGCCTTGGTACCAATATGGTATTGGTGACATAAATAGAGAGATCTAGAAAAGAGAAAACTACAATACCTAGGAAGTATAGCAATTAAGAGTATGTTATGGTTTTGGAAACAAATTTAAGAGACAGGAGCAATACTTTGGGGAAGATCTAAATAACTCATAAGACAAGGGAATGCTTCTTATAGGATGAAATTCATATAGTTGGAGGAGTAACCATTTACAAAATTAAGTGAGGTTGATCATAACAAATCTTGGATAATAGACCATAAAGACGTTAAGTGTCACAATTTTGGAACATAAATTTCCTAGACAACTTATGCCAAGTAATCAACATATGTCAAATTGCCACAGAGGTAAAATTATGTGAGGTTGATCATACCAAATCTTGGATTATAGACCATAAAGATGTTAAGTGTCACAATTTTGAGACATAAATTTCCTAGACAACTTATGCCAAGTAATCAACACATGTCAAATTGCCACAAAGGTAAAATTTGAAACATTTGAATTGAAGGTGTTTAACATAATGTTCTAGTTGAAGCTACCAGACCAAAACCCTCTTAGAAATTCCTATTAAAAACAATATGAAATCCATTCTTCATTCCATAATGATTACTAAGCTTGGTGATTAATTATTGCTGACAATATTCCAAGCTTGGTTTCATTATCCATTTGCAAGCTTGTTTGCAATGTAAATGTTCAAGCTTAGTTTCAGAACATATTCATTATTCAATCATATGTCCAAAAACAATTCGTTGAATAAATGATTAAGAGCATGTTTGGGTTAGCTTGTAAGAGCTTTTACTTTTTTTGTACTGTTCATGAGTGATAAGGTTAAATTTTTATTGGAGGGAAAATTTAAAAGTTGCTTTTAGAGATAGGAAAAAGTGAGTAAAAAGGGAGTAAAAAGGGAGTTTATGAAAAGCTTGGATTTGAAGCTTTTGAGCTTTTATTGTTTAAGGTCTTTTTAATGTTAAAAAAAAGTTTAAAAATGTAAGTTTTTAAGAGGGAAATTTAAACTTATGAAACATGAATAGTGTCAAAAAGCTAAAGCTGTAAGAAGCTAACCCAAACATGCTGTAAGTCCAATAGAACTTTAATTCAGGTCATATTGAATAGCTCACTAGCCTCTCAGTTAAGGTTGCATCTGAACAATAAGCTTGGTTTTTCTTAGAATCTTTAATTACAGATTCTGACTCGTGAGTGGTGAACTAGTATGTTCTGGTAATTACTTTGTGCTAACCATTGTCACTGACAGCTAAACTAAGAATTATCTTGATTTTATAACTTCTCCATATCTCAGATATTATACTTTTATAACAAGAATTAGGCTACCTCTATGACATAGCTCCCTCATTATTTTCAAAGATGGCATCACCAAGAGTAAAACTTTTCTTCAGAATTTCAATTTTGCATGAAACCCAATCAAAGCTATCATCAAGACATGACCTCTAACTTCTAAATTCTAATCCTAAGCGGAAATTTTAGAAACAGTGTACTATAATAAACTAAAAGGATTGTGATGTTAGAAACTCGGTCTTTCTCGTTATGATATATACTTAAAAACACCCACATGAAGCAAGAACTGAGACATAGAAATCCATTATTGAAAAATGTTAAAAGAAAGTACCAAGGAAGAGGGGGACTGCAGAATGGAGAGGGAGTGGCCACAAGCGTCGAGGCAGAGCTGAAGAGAGGACTGGGAAACGAGTGCGTTTTGCTTGGAGAGAGTAGGCTGCTGGATTCCCCACAGCAGCATCGTCTCCTCCGCAGCCGATTCTGACTCCGACTCCACCACTGTTAACACTTTCACCTCCCCACCATACGATCCCAACTTCTTCATCGTCATCGCTTCTACTTCTTCTGCTTCTTCCTCCATATCGTCTTCCTAAGGCGATTGCAGCAGTTTCTACTCCAATGCTCGCTCCACACGGGAGTTCTGCTCGCTCCACACGGGAGTTTCGGCGCAGGTTTCGGAGAGGATTTTTTTTTTTTTCAGAGTTTTGGAGGGGCTTTTATGCTTTAAAAAGGAAATTGGGAATTTCGGGATTTGAAGGTATAACCTGCCAAATATGTAAACAAGGGCTACATGGCCCAGGGGATAAGGTGCGGTCTACGCAACCCCAGGGAAGTCGTTACTTCCCATCTTTACAATTTTATTTTATTAATGATACAAATATACACTATTTTTGAAAAAATAATTATGAAATACTACCAAAAAGGTTATCACAATTCAATGATATTGTATAACTTTTTCCATGAGATTAGTAGAGCCCAAAGATGCAATATGGTATGATGCTGAAATACTCTCCACCATCATTGTGACAAGTATAATTTCATAACAATGATTCATAGGTGATGGTGTTTTCTTGCAATATTAGTAATGTGCCAAAAGCACATTTATGTTTATTATATAACAGGAACCACGGTTACACTCATTCTATTTCTATCTGCTGTGGGACATCTTCCTCATCTTTAGATCCTTCATCACCAATCTCTTCAGTAATCCCAGCAGCTTCTACAGTCCTAGAAACCCATTCCTTGAGCGGATCATCATTCAAATCAAGCCTTAAAAGTCCTGCAAACATCCCGCCCATAAAAGCTACTGGCTCCTGAAAAGAGGCAATCACATCAAAACAAACTGTTCAGAACACCAGATGAAATAACTGAAACAATGAAGATGAAAATGCGAACGAGAAGATTAGTGGACGATAGGCAGCAGAAGTTGGCTGATTCCAGACGATCAATGCAGTTTTCTAGAGCAAATTATCCACTAGGCAATGCAAATGAGAATCCGATTTACTTTTGGTAATGAACTGACAGTCAGAAATGTTTCATAATTCTAGTTGGAATACACACAGATTTGAGGTCTCCACGTCAAAACTAGAATCAAATTGAATTACTCGATAGTGAAAGCCTTCTCTTAACAAGACAGATAGAAATGACTCATACAATAAAATAGTCCTAAATGAGTTAGCATGCCAATGGTCAAAAGACTGGGGAGATCATTCTCCTCCAACCCTCATATATGAGCCATGAAATCTAGATGGGACTGATAATTGATAAATAGTATAATGTAGAATGTATTAGGATTATCCACCAAAACCAATACTTTTTTAGACTAAAACTGCAGAAAGAAAAAGGAGGTACTAAAAAGTCTCAAGTAATAGTTGCTAACTTTCTATGTGGTAAAAAATATTAAAAGAGAGTCCTGTTCCAGAGGAAGGTTGTTCTTCTAGCAAATAACCATGCCAGGTGAAGGTCAACAGTCATGGTTGCTAACAACAGGATTGATCAATTCATGACACAGTTTAAATGTGAAAAAAAAATTGTTACCACTGAAAGCATTTAATTAAATATCACTATAATATGACGTTGGTGAAGGTCTGAAGGAACCCTATCAGAAATATATGTCAAAATAAACAAGAAACCAGCACTTGATTATTAAACAACAAAATCAACTGACTGTTTTTCAGCAAAGGTGTTTCTCATGACTAACATAAGTAAAAAAAAAACCCTGATTACAACCTCTGCCCTCTCCTGTTATCCAATTACATGTATATGCTCATAGAAAAGGACTTGAGAAAAAAATCAGAGTCCAAGATAAGCTAAAGTATAGCACATGGTACTGGCATCAATTATGTTATAAATTAAACATTGCCACCAAAATTACAATCTTCAACCACATGTCATGGTTGCCATAGCAGATTCAACAGAAAAAAAACTAAGGCTGGAGAAAGCTCATATGAGCTTGCAGTGGTTAACTTGTGCACCAATGAGTAGGCATAACTGCATGCCTGTGTACATCTACATTCATGTTTATGTACTCAACCGCATTGTGTGTTCATGTGCATGTTCCTCTATGTGCAAGCACACACAGACATTGTGCATGTCTATTGTCAATGTCTAACCCATCCCCTATGTTTCCTGTTAATGAAAAGTAAAATTATATGCACATTATTTTGATAATAACCATTTATCAAAAAAGTGGCAGTTCAGGCAGCTAATTTGCTCTTTGCCGTTTTAATATATTCAAAGAGCAATGACCCCTAGCAAATTTGTTATTTTTAAAATTTGATCAGAAAAGAAAACAATACTTCTATTAAGGGAGTAGCACTCAACCTTTTACAAATTGTAGTCCATCTGTCAACAAAAGCAGAACCCCATACAGTTCTTCTCAACTACCAAATTGGCTATCAAAACATCAACGTAATAAAAATCCTCCATCAATCCTAACAATCCTCTCGTTTACAAATCCTCATCTATCAATCCTCTTGTTTACTAAGCTAGAAAAATGCTGCATTTATCATCAAAACGCAACAGAACCACAACTTCTAGTGTACCAGCAATTCACCAAGACCAAAATTTCAAAAAAAAAAAAAAATGGACATGTATTTAGATATATGACAAATTACAGCTTAAATTTCAAGAATTATGCACCATATATGCTACCCATAATGAAAAGGATAAAAATAAAGAAAGAGACATGATTCCCAACAGTAGAAGAAAGCACCTTAAGAGCTTGTTGGAGGATGGGTTCTTCAGAGGGATTGAAGAAAAACGCTTTGACCATCCCTTTTGATTTCCTATTTCCATTCCCATAAGACACGCAATTAGTATTGCTGCTTCTCATGGACCTGAAAATCATTGTGGGGTTCTTCCATCCCCACTGAAGTTTACAAAGAGAATTAGAACCGTATAAGATAATTAGAATCGGTGATGGGAAAAGGAGAGATTGGGCGGTGGTTGGAGAAATACCAATGAACACGAGGAGCTGAGGCAGTTGTTGAGAATGAGTGACATTTTTTTTTCTGCTTCTGAAATCGGCAATCTGTCTTTGCATTTTCTGTCTCCTCATCAAAATAAAATGCAAATTTATCTCCGAGCTCAGAAAACTAGGCCCTGAACTTCAAGATTATACTAATCATGCCCCTGAATTATATCTGAATGAATTATGCCCTAGATATTAGGTTGAGCAACAAAAACAAGTTTTTTTTTTGGTTTGGGCAACCAGGCGTCTCAAGACTAGTCTCTGCACCTCTAAGCATTTTTTTTTTTTTTTTTTTGGTTTGGGCAACCAGGCGTCTCAAGACTAGTCTCTGCACCTCTAAGCAATCTTAAGAGCACATTTTTACATCAATTTGATACATTTAGGGAATTTGGTGTTAATTTAAATTTAAAAAACTTAAACTTTGAACTCGACTTATAAAATAAGTAAATATTAATATATCTTATGGTATATAACTAATCACGTAAGTGCCCATAGTGGGTGATTTAAGTGGTTAAGAGTTTGAAATTTAGAGTTGAAGATCTTGAATTTGAATCTTGAGATGGGTGAGGAGAGATAAAAGAATATGGTTATTTCTTATTATATAGTTTATTATTTAATGTACAATAAAAAAATTAATTGAATAAGTACTTGATCAATACTTGTTTAAATACTAATTATTTGTAATATCGTCAATTTTACATACTTTGACTGGTATTGGGTCAAGTAGCAAAATAATACGATCTAAAATTGATAGTAAGAATTATGTTGCGTCTTATCATAAGATATTGTTTGTTTTGGCCTATGTAATTTGCAATTTTGTCCTACAAAAGATACTAAACTGGAGTGGTGCCATATGTGGTTGAAGTGAGTGAAAAATAAGTAAGTCTTGCTATTGCTAATATTATATCTCTATTTGCCAAAAAAAATTAAGTTTTTTTTTTTTTTTTCTTAAGTGAATAAGATGAAAGATGGTTGTTTTCTAATTGTGCAGTCCAAAATCGAAAAGAAAATTTTGGCTCAAGCCCAGACCACAATAAATACGGCCCAGATCAAGACTATAGTAGAGCCGGGTCGAACACTCTGAACGGATATTTCTACCGTCCGAGTGGGAGTAAAGCTTCACATAACTAATTTCCAATTAACCCCGGCCTCTGTGACCTTCTGGAACAATCTCGATTCTCCGCCTCCGTCGACGGGAAGTATGGCCGGAAGAGAAGTTCGTGAGTACACCAACCTCACCGACCCCAAAGGCACGTATTATAATTCTTCAATTTCAAGCACAATCTCTCTCTCTCTCTTTTAAACAATTTTAGCCGAATTGTTTGAATAAAATCTGGTTGCAGATAGGAAATTGGGGAAGGGAAAGGATAGGCTAGACGATGAAGATATCGCTTTCCAGCGCATGGTTTCCAAGGTTAGAGCGTCGCCTCTCCCCCCTTCTTTGACTTAAGATCTATGAGTTTTTTGGTTCTTTGGTATTATTACTTGGATTGGGCATTACTTGATAACTGAAATCTTTTTGCGTGCAAATAAGTTTTACTCTTTGTAATTTGGAGCTAATTTGACTGATATTTTTCTCATATATCTTGTTGGATGCATATTCATAAGTTCTTGTGTTGCATAATGTTTTTTATTTTATTTTTGGTTTAAATGGGTTCATCTGATGTCTCTTTAGCAGTGCTGAAATGGTAGATTGATTGTGGAAGGTCTGATGTTTGTTCTTCTATCCGAGAATTAGATGTGTGTTTTTTTATTATTCTCTAGTTTTAATTAGCTTCTGTTGTTAGTTAAATTAAAATTTTCTGGTGGAGATTTCTGATAACATGCCCCGGCAGGGATCTTGGCTTTTCCCACTGGGTGGTTGATTGGAGCAGATGCAAGAGGTTGCTGGAGAACGTGGAGGATACCTACATGGTCGAGGGGGTATCTGCCTGCCTCTTTTTCTCTGGCCTCCTTTTTAAAAAAAAAAAAAAGAATAAAATTTTATCACCACTCTCTTTTAAGGCCGTGAAAGTAATTTTTGCTCGTGCTACCTATAGTTTGTTAAGCTTTGTTTATGCAGCATTGGACAGTGATGACTTACTCTATCTCAAGGAGCAGATGGAAGCTGAGGAAGATGCTGAACGTCTCCTACGCCGCACTGAGAAACGGGCATTTGCTGCATTTAAGATATCCTTCCTCATCTACCTCATTTCCCTTCCAAATAGAAAAGAATCTTCTTCTAAAACCTAAATAGTGTCAACATGATTGGAAATACTTGCTACTTACCCCATTGGTCTTGATGTTTTTGCATCTATTACTTCTTTCATTCCCTATTTTAGGCTTGGCAATGCCATGTTAGAACATTTTTTTGATCTCCATATTTAAATGTCTCTACAATCACAAAGCAGTTTTGTTTTTTTTTAAAGCTAAAACCAGTTTTTTCTCATTATTGTGATTATCGACTTTAAAATTCATTATGTTTCACTTTGCAGAAGTTTTTGCATGGGAAAAGTTATGTGAAATATGTTGTATGCAATTCATGGTTTCTGTTTGTCATTAGCCTGCTAGTTCTTTGTTTCCCACATTATTTCATCTTTTTGGCTGACCTTATATAGACTGTGTTAGATTTTCCATGCATGGTATATATAAGTTGAAACACAGTCAACTTGTCGGTCTCTCATTTTCTTCCTTAACCAATGGGCACAAAGCTGCAAATTTAGCAGATTCTTCACCTGCTGTGGTTCCTTTGCCTCTCCGTGTTGAGCCCAAGCCAAAAAGTGGGATTAGGTCTCTCTCTCTCTCTATGTGTGTATATATATACATATCTATCTATCTATCTATCTATCTATCTATATATATGTATATATATAACTTGTTCTTTTATCTGGTCTAATCTTTTTTTTGTATGGACTCTAGACAGCAAGATCTACTGAAGAAGGTTGTAGAAATTAAACCCAAACGACCTAGAGTTTCAAGCTCATCCAGTGGGAATCAACAGACTACAACTTCAAGTACAAATTCCAAGAAGTCAGATGAAGAAGACAAGGAGCACCCTGCTTCCGAAAGAAATAAAGCAGAAGACCAGAAAAAAGTGGAAAATCCAGTCAAAAGTTTACTAGGCTTAGCATATGCTAGCTCAGATGATGAAGATGACTAATTATTTGCATCGGAACAATGGGACATTAATTTTTTTTTTTTTTGGGTTAAAACCAAAGTGGCAAAGAAAAACATGTTTTCCTGCTTACACAGACATTCATGCCACCTGACCCATCGTCAAAAGCTGAGTAATATTTCTTTGATAAGGGAGATAAAAAGAAAAAAAAGATAAAAAGATAAAAAGTAAAAAAAACCTAAGTAGTAGGAAATGAGTGTATTATTGTGTATTATTTCTTCTGTTTAGCATGTAGTCTTTCTTTTATGTCAACTTCAGTTTATAATCAACATCTTGATGTTTTGGAGCACTTCAAAACTCCTGATGAACTTGTTAATGCCTTCGCTTGACTGGCATTTGCGACCTCGAATTTCTGTTCACGGTTATAAGTAGGCTTTGCCCCTCCAATGCTTGTTTGTTTGAATGAAGCTCCATTTGTGAAAAGGTCCCCTACAGAATAAAATTTCCACAATTCTTTCTCTACTGTTGCCTTGCCTCCATGTCACCTGTTTTGTTATCTTGGAGTCATGGTAAGTAATTTGCACATCTGATTGTTATAAGATGATTCAGGTATCTCTGAGAACAGTGAAAAGAAGTCTTGAGGTTACCTCCTTGTTCCCTTCTGGGGCAATAAAGCAATTGGCTTCACTTATGATGCTAGGGCTTAAGCTTCCGCCAATGGCATATTGTTCCCATCCCTGATAAGAGTGTGCAAATCCATGTCGAACCCTATAACATTTTACGTTGTTTTGAGGTTTGTTAGCATGGGTAGGCACGGATTGTTCATTTCTCTATCTTGCATATCAAATGTACATTACCTGGGCATACGTTTGTTGCAGTTAGGTCCGAAATGGTTGAAGACGACAGTTGCCTTAATGCCTTTGTCTCTCACGTAGCCGTCATCATGCCCAAGAAGCATGACCTTGTCTTGGTTTCTGAACCAATTGTTAGAAATAGTAACATCTGTGGATCCACGAGTCACATCAAGCAAACCATCCTCGCAGTCGTGTAATGTATTGTGATCTATCCAAACTTTGGTTGCACTTACCAGTCTGATTGCATCCCCATCCATCTGGCCAAGCTCAACCACCTTTCCTTCTGGACCCATCATCGAGCTTGCAGACTGGCGCTTGCAATGCTGGATCCTGAGCCCATGTATAATTACATCTGTTGCCCGAACATTGTATGTTACATTGGTTATGGCATGCCCAACATGTATGGTATGTTTGGATTGAGAGAAAAAAATAAAAGAGGAAGGGAGTGGGCGAAAATTATATCTTTTCATTCTTCTTCATTTCTCTTATTTGAATAACAAAATAAATTAAAAGAAAAAATAAAATAAAAGAAAAATTTCCCATCCTCTCCCTTCTAATTTGTTTGAAAACCAAATAAAGAAATTTTTACTCCTTCCCTCCCTTCTCATATGTTCTCTCTCAATTCAAATATGCTGTTAATAAACATGGATGATTTGATTTGGAGTTAAATCAAAACAATGTTATTGGAAAAAATATTTTGCACATTGGATTGCAAAACCATAGTCCTCAAATGGGCCATGAGTATAATGATAGCCCTCATCGAATGATTGTAATTTTTATAGTTAATTGCTTATTAGTATATGAGCTATTGGTTTTTCCATCAGTATTGCATTACACTCGGTGAAATCGCTAGAGTAATCTTAATGAATTATTATGAGGAGAATCATTAAGTCTAATAATTTTACAATATGAACTACACTTTTGTTTTTGTGTGGTTTGGATTGAAAAAACGCATTTTTGGTAGTTTGTACAATGCATGGAATTGAACGGTGAACAATACCTTGTGTACTAAGAAGCTTGCGAGGATGGAAAAATGAACATCAACGCCACGGTTGTCGATGGCAGTGAAGCTACTAATGAGGAGTGGTTTATGAAGAGTGATTTGCATGTCCCTTTTGAAAGTGATCCATACTTTTCCCTTAACCATTGTGGCTCCATACCTCAAGCTTCCTGGTTTAGGGTTCAATGGATCATCCGAAGGATTGGTAACTTTATAGTGTACAACACCTTTCCCAATGTTATTGATCATCTTCCCTGCAAAACCCACTGAGCATTGGGCAAGTTGTAGGCGATGCCTTCGCCAATCAGGGTCCAATCTCTAGCACTGGTCAATGACGTTCATGTGTGCGAATGTGGCATTGTGAGTGTAAAGGATGAATACGAAAAGAGCCAAAAGAAAGTGCCATGAAAATGAGAAAATC